ACTTGCATTAAACAGAACTTTAGAGTTTTAGAATTTAACCACCCTGCTCCTTTAGCCCGCTGTCCCCACCCCCTTTTCCTCTTCTCTTTTTTCCTTTTGCAAAACTGCCAGCACCTGCAGTGAGGGTCAGTCAGCCAGAAACCTTCCCCCGGAGCTGCCAAACCAGTTCTAGTCAAAACTGGGATTTATCTGGGGTTTCCAGTTGGACCAGCAGCTGGTGGAGGGTTTGTCCAGAGCAGCTGTCATCCTAAGCGAGCAGTGGTGCCCCTTTTCCTGAAAGTCTTGCTCCATTGAGGACCTACCTCTATAGCACGCTGCCTATGGGCAGGAACGAGTTGGAATGAAGCTGGCATGGACGGCTCTGGGCAGGCAGGGCAAGGCTGGACTTTTCTGGAATAGTTTTAGAAGTTCGTGAATGGAACTGGGTACACCCTCCCTGCCAGATTCTTAGCATTGGTGTCTATTGAAAGGTCAGATACCTGGATTCCTGAACCATGTAGTATTTGTTAGTCTATCAGGATTCAAATCTCAGTTGAATCCTGTGCCAGTATTACTCTATAACTAGCACACTTTTCCCCTGCTTGTAACCTTTCCATTCTAGTCTGAGAACATTGAGAACGTTTAAGTAATGAGGTTATAGTGAGAATAGTGAGAAAGGTGATCTCATCAGAGGCATGCTTAATGGAGGTAGTGGACAGGATTAAATGTTATATGTTTTAAATTTGGGGTTTCGTTTTTTGTTGTTTTGATTTTTGAGACGGGGTTGCTTGGTAGCCATAGCTGGCCTGGAGCTCACTATGTAGACCAAGCTGATCTTGATTTTACAGAGATCCACCTGCTTCTGCCTCCCCAGTGCTAAGATTAAAGGTGTGCACCTCCACACTGGCTTTGAATTTTTCATTTTAATGAACTTAACCTGTAAATAAGAAAGCAAGTGCCCCCAAATTTTAATTGTGATTTTCTGAATTTCTTACATTGGTAAGTAATTTGCTTTCTCTTGAATTCTCAGTTCTGTATGCTTATACTCTTGGTGCTGGTTGCTACAATAAGGTACTACTTCATGATTAAAAAACTAATCATTTTAAACTGAAAGCACTGTGCTCATGTTTCAGATCAGCAGCAGCTGTGGTGGATAAGCCCAAACCCCAAATCACTGCATTGCAATTTGAGGCATATTTTACGAAGTTGAACTCTACTAGGTCACAACTCCCAGATGCAAGTCTAGCAGGTCAGATAAAGTTCCCTTAAACTAATCTACTAGTTATATCCAGTCAACTAGACATGACTTGAAGTTATCTTGATGTACATTTTTTTTGTGTGTGTGTATGTGGTCTTTTTTGAGATAGGGTCTCCCTGTAGCCCCAGCTGTCCTGGAACTTGCTAGGTAGACCAGGCTAGCCTTGAACTCACAGAGATCCACCTGCCTCTGCCTCCCAAGTGCTGGGATTAAAGGCGTGCACCACCACGCCCGGCTTGATGTACATTTTTATTCCACATTGCCCCACACTCTGAATTGTTCCAAAAATTTGCCTTCTGATTATGATTTATTTTGGCTGGTCTTAAATGAGTTACTTTAGAAATACATTCCTATGGCAGCCAAGGGAAAGTAATGTGTAGAAAGATTACTGATAATTTACAAGATGGAGCATGCAAAGTTGGCCATATTTAGTGACAGTCCATGAAATTCTAGATCATGTTTTCAAAATGACTTCAAGAAGCACTGTAGCCAGTCTCCTCTTTGCATCTAAATAAGGGTCACCCCCAAATGTGTTACCAGTCTCATCTCTCCCACTTTCCCAAACCTAGTTCAGTCTACAGTGTGCATAAACTATGACATCTTTCAAGACAGTGTGTTTTAGCACGTCTGCAGTCTTTTGTTTGCTCTTCTACTTGTTCTTCACCCCTGAGTTCATGGCAACCTCAACTTACCCTGAACACCAGATCAAATATCTTCTTTGTGAAGCTTTCTCCAACCACCCACACTTCTCAAGCACAGAGTAGCTTCTTTCTACTATTCTATCCCAGCACCTTCTCCCTCACTGTCAGAGATGAGGAGATAGTGACACTGTTCCATACTGCCCCCTCAGCAAACTGAGGAGTTCTAATCTTTTAGGGACCTGAACTCTGGTCAAACTGGGACTCCTGGCTTCCACACTGAAAAGGATTTAAAATTAATCAGTTTATGAAGCAGAGCTGGAGATTTTATTAAAGATATTTTAATATAAGCTTAAGCAGGTGGGTTAAGAGAAAGAGTGGTACTGAGGGAATATGAAAACGACCAAGAACCTGGGTGTGGACTTCTCTGAGAGAGAATTACAAAAAGTGACACATAGACCAATGTAGGAAGGGGCCCCTCAAGGAAGAGTCTCAGTTGTCTTAGTATTAGCCATAAACCATTTTGGTGGCTTTCAAGTTACATCTCAAAAGGTTGCTAAGAAACCTTTTCTTCTTCCTCCTCCTCCTCCTCCTCTTCCTCTTCCTCTTCTCTCTCTCTCTCTCTCTCTCTCTCTCTCTCTCTCTCTCTCTACCCCCCCCTCAATAAAATCATAGAGTGGCTCTAGAGATGCCTTGGCTGGAATTATAATCTGATAAAGTAAAACCAGAAGCCGCTAGGGTTGCACAAGTGGTTTGGTACATGTTCTTTCTTTATAAGTGGAGTTTCTGGTAAGATTTCTAGAAAATTACAGGTTTCTCTCTGGGAAAGAAGAAAGGCCTTAAGCAGTTGTGCTGGAGTTCTTGTTTCTCTGTTGGCAGGAGGTTTCAACCAGATAGCTGGGTAAAGTCCTCCTCCCCTGTCCCCCACTCCCTGAATTTTCCTGTCTTTCTAACTTGTCTCAACTAGAATGGAAACTCTTCGAAGGCAGACAAAGGCTAGTAACATCAGCAGCAGGTACATGGCATAGGGCTGGGAATTAAATGCTTAAGTAAAAACATATTAAAGATAGACACCAAGAGATCATGAACAAACCTCTTACATGGTTTAAAGCCTGTTTGTCCTTTTCAGAGTTGGAAGTGAATTCCAACTTTGTCTTTCCCATTCCCAGTAACTCAACAAATTCATGACGATATTAAATATCACTGTACCCTCAGGTTCAAACGCATTTCCTACCCAAGTTGGTATGAAACATTGTCATAAGGCAGCATTCCATTTCTCAAGAACCTCTTAAGAAGAGGAGAGGAGGAAATGAATGCCAACAGGATAAACATACACTCAACATCTGCCTGTAAATCGACAGGATAGATTCTGGAAAAGGAAGGACAGGCACAGTGGACTTAGAGAAATTGTGGAGAGCAACAGAATGCTAGCCAGGGCACTATTTCCTGCATGACTCATACCTTCAGTCTATTGACACAGAAGACACATAGAGAACCCACTCTGTGCCTCACTATGCCATCTCCCTCCATGATGCCTCCCCCCCACTTGACCCTGGGAAATCTGTGTCAGAAAACCACCTTCTTGACCTGGAGATCAAAGCCCTGAGCTTTATATATCCCAGAAATTAGAGATGTTTCTGATTCATCAACTGACATGAAAAGATAGCATAAAAATACAAATTCTAGGGGGCTGGAGAGATGGCTCAGTGGTTAAGAACACTGGTTGTTCTTGCAGAAGACCCGTGTTCAGATCCCAGCACGCACATGGCAGCTAACAACTGTCTGTAACTCCAGTTCTAGGGGATCTGATGCCCTCTTCTGACCTCCTTGGGCATTTCACAACAGGGGTACATTTCCATACGTGCAGGCAATACACACATACACATAAAATAACAAATCATAAAATATTTTTAAAAATACAAATTCTAAACTCAAAGAGGTAAAGTGTGAAGTTTAACCAAATCATGATTGAATCTTCTCTTCAACATTTGTGTCGAAAGGTCTTTCAATTCAATGGTTTGGAAGTTTACTACTACACCATAACTCTTGGACACTCTTAAATGTTACGAAGTCTTCTTGAACTAAGACTGCTATACTACGTTCATCAAGAATCTCGTCCCAGCCCTTCAGCTTTGGAAAAATTAGGATCTTGCCTTTCTTTTTCTGCCCAGGTCAGGCATCATCATTTCCTTCATCTGCCTTTTCTCATTTGACCTGATTTTGGCGATGATAACTGGGATATCTACTTCTCTGAAGCTTCCTATAAACTATGAATGCCAGACATTGTGCATATTCGATCAATCTCACACCCAATCACTGACGAGAGTGTTATTAACCCCTGGGTAGAGTTCAGAAATTGACACTTTGGCAAAGCAGATTGGTTCTGGAGGGCCCTGGAAGGCTTCAGGTCATATTTTCATCCTAGAGAAACAGTATGGGGAAGAAATGGAAGGCAAGAGTGAGAAGGAGGCTTGTGAGGAGCCTGATTGTCCTCCCCACTCCTCCCCTGAATTCTTTCTGTGTGCCAAATGCTCTTTGCCTCACATCCAAGTCATTTTAATGGAGCAGAACATGTACACATCTGGGCCAGCTTAGCAACCGCGTCTCCATCTCCACTGTACTTTTGTGTTAAGTTGTGCAGAGCCTTGGGTTCACATCAAGTTCCTTCGGTTTAGCCAGCTGAAGCATGTTCAGTGGCAGCAGGGGGACTTATGGTTCATATTACTGCATGGAATTCTCCATGTACTTTGCAGAACTATTTTAAGGAGA